CTATATGGCCAAGGTATTTGTAAATATATTTCGAGTCTGAGTCTTATTTCTGGGAGCATGAGGCTGGGAGAAAGAGCCAGGGCTCACTTCTATACTATAGACTGAGGGTCTGAATTCTGAAATAGATATCACTGGACAATACGGTACCCAGAGGACCATATTCTTGTAATCTATGTGGTGTAATCCATTTTCTTTCTTAGTTTGTCTTCTGGAAGCTACCAGCATTCTTTGCCTCTTAGTTCCTTTCTGTCTACAAAGCCAGCAAATTAGGTGAGTCTTTGTCACATTGTTTTACCGTGACAAACTCTTCCTGTGACTATAGCTCATCACCTTCATCTTTCCCAATGAAGGACACTTGCCATCACATTGCTCTCACCTGAGTAATATCTGGTTAGCAGCAGCTGGTGGCAGTATTCCCAGGTATGGTGTGACGTAACTTATCTAGACTGTGGATTAGGAAGTAGACATCGTAGAGGACTTTGCCTGTATACACTGATAGTGCAGGATACCACAGTACCGTATAGTAGATATGGTTAGTGGACTTCTGGTGGTTTTCTTTCCCTAGCATCTTTTAACTTACATTGGGTTGTGTCATCCTCTTCTCTCCTTCTGATGATACCTTTCATCTCTGGTACACTCGTGACTTTAACAATCACATAATCATATGCTTTCTAGACACGACAGGGGTCACCAAGCAGACACAAAGGAATGCACCTAATATTGGTCCAAGGAGTGGCTATGTGACTCAGTATGTTCATCAGACCTTTCTTTTTTTCAGAATTGAGATCCAAAACCAGCTTCCTCTTTCCCTTAGGGGTTCCGCTTTCCTCTTGGAATATTAGTCACATGGCTGTGATGTCAAAGACACTGATCATTCCTGTCTACGTGCACATCCTCCTGCCCAAACAACAAATGGAAAAGACAAAGAAAATAGAGCCAAGAAACAAACAGGAGGCCAAATCAGGGCGGGAACCAAGGGGTTGGGCTCCTTTGCTATTCCAGTCTCACAATTCTCTTGGCACATCAGTGTGTTCCATCCTCACGCTTCAGGGCCACAGCTGGGAGATAATAATTTATGCTATTTTGGTTAGGCTAGTTTGATTCAGATTTGTATCACTGGGCATTTAAAAAATAACTAAAAGGAAATGTCTTTGTGTTTTCTCCATTCCACTGTAACCTTCATGACACCACGAGTGCATGACCCTGAGGGGGCTTATTGAAAATGCTCCTAAAGTGCTTTCTGATTTACATATTCTACTGAGATGTCATTGCATCAAAATAAAATTTAGAAAGCTATAATAATGGATATACAAAGGCGATTTTCTTAACTTCATTAAAATCTGCATTTTTATTTTTTTTAATTTATTATTATGTGAATGTGTGTATAAGTGCACCTGTGCCATTGGAATGTGATTTTGGAGGTCAGAGAACAACTTGAGACAGTCAGCTAGTTCTCTTCTACCACTACATGGGTCCCAAGGAGCAAATTCAAGTTGACAGATTTAGCAGTAAGCTCCTGCACCAACTGAGTCATGTCACAGACCCCCAAATCTGTATTTTATAAGGGGGAGTCTTGTGTAAATTTTATTATCTTGTAAGATGTAGGTCCTGAAAGTAGCAGTTTGCCATGTGTTTATTATAACTTATAAAGGGAGACCTTCAGAAGGATTATATTAGGAGAGCTATAGGTTCATCGTAGCCAGCCATGATGTGGTCCTGCCCTGGGAGAGCATTAACAAAGATACCATCACGCTATAGGCATGATGGGAATCTTGAAGGAAGAGCCTTCATTTCTACTAGGACAAAGGGAATTTCTGAGTCTTATAGGTTTTCAGGAGCAGGTTGTGGAGGGGAGGGCTTAGAGGGAGTATAAGCTGCAGTCTATGTGACCAAACCTGGCCTAGCCTTTGTACCAGGAGTCACAAGGCAGAAAGATGAAGTAAACTTGCAATTCAAGGTTGTCTTAAGCTTGCACACAGCTTCACAGAAAGTGAGAGAATTTCAAGGCCAAATGGAATAATATTTTATCAGGTCTCTGGACCAGAGGAGAGACTGTAGGAGCATGTGACCTGATTTCAGGGGTTAGGGGAGGGTCTATGATCTAACAGCGTTTCTAGACCAACAGCTCTTTGTGTGTGCATATACATATACATAGCTTTTGTCTTAAAGGAAATAAAAGATATTTTACCCGAGAGCGATTTCAAGTGACTATGTCCTGGAACATAGATTTAGCTTAGCCTAAACTCCATGCTCCAATGTCAAAGAAGTTCCACAAAGTTTTTATAGCATTATACAACAATAACAACAATGCCATAAGCCAAGGCAAGTTTAAAATACATTGATGGAGCAATACATTGATTGTTTCCCTCTGCATCAGTGGTCGTTAGGCAGGGGGTGGGCTCATAACCTAGGGGTGCAGATCTGTTGGGGTAATAACCTGGAGATGCTGGTCTTGTTGGGGGTTAACCTAGAGATTGGAGCTAGGCTTGGGTTTTGTTGGGGGTTAACTTGAAAACTAATACAGCAGAGAAGCAGGTACACTGAGATGGGAAAAGCTTTTCTATAGGCCCAAGATGCTATCTGACGACATTCTTAGCTTTTGGATTGGTGGAAGCCAGCAGTGTGCTAAGTTAATAGATCCTACCAGGTTTTCATCTATCAAGTCACAAGTTGTACGTTCTGACACAGAAGTGGGTGGAAAACTGCTGTTTGGGGTGGGGAGCTAGAACTAGCCCAAGATAAGGTAATTAGCCTTTAGACTGCACCACTCCAATCTCTTCACAGTACTGAAATTCTAGTCAGCCAATCAGTTTCTGCAGACACAGCTTCTTTTCAAGAGTTTCATTTTCAGAAAGAGGCATTCACATTGAATAATAATCATAAAAAATTCATAGGCCACGTGTGATGATGTATGAGGCAGCCTGGTCTAAATAGTGAGTCTCAGTACAGCTAGGGTTACAAAATGAGACCCTGCCTCAAGAAATAAAGATAAAGGAAAAAGAATCCACATACAATACAGTAAACTAATGGAAGTTAACTTTAACATATTTGTCCTTTCTGCTTTGGAACATTTTTGTAAAGATCAGGTGGGGTGTAGTGCCAGGGAAGGGTTGAAACCCTCCCCCAAAACAGACAGGAGCCAACTCAATGCAATTACAGTAGGGCCTTTTTATTCTAGCTAGCTTGGGGCCCCCAGGGCACCGCTATCCCGCAGGATGGTTTTGGTGGGGAGGAGCTCCCAATAACTATTAGGGCAAGGCTTTATTGGAAGCTACAAGCAGGGGGTGGGTGTTTAAGCATCTAACTGGAGAGCCACCATAGCCTTGAACTTAATTGGCTGCTGCTGGGAGTCATCATAAACTTAATTGCTGCTTCCCTCTGCGTTGGTGGTCCTTAGGCAGGGGCTGGGCTTGTAACCTAGGGGTGCAGATCTGTTGGGGTAATAACCTGGAGATGCTGGTCTTGTTGGTGGTTAGCTCAGAGATTCGAGCTAGGGTTTTATTGGGGGTTAACTTGAAAACTAATGCTAGGTACCAGCCTGTTAGTTTGTCTGAATTCAAACATAGGTCAGGTTTTCTACAATGGAGTCTGAATTTAAAAGATTTGGCCTCTCAGGGTTATATGTGTATGTGTGTCTTCTCCATTCCCAGCAGCCAGGAGCTGGAGGCGGGGCAGTTTGTGGTGTGGTGGTATACATCTTTAGTTCCAGCACTCAAGAGGCAGAGGAAGGTAGAAAGAAAGTAAGTTAGAGACCAGCTTGGTCTTCATAGTGAGTCCCAGGCCAGCCAGGGTTACATAATAAGATCCTGTGTTTTTTAAAACAGAAAAATATCTCAATAACTAGAACTAACATATTGATCAACTGGATATATAATACTATTTTGTCTTTCCATACTGTTTTCATGGGTGAGGGCTTTCATTCACGCAGGGATTCTTTTCCCAAGCTAATTAGTATATTTAAGAAAGCCCAATAATACTGGCCAGAGACATTTTATTAGACTTAGATTTCACCTACAGCACGCATGGCATGGTTTTAGGTATTTGTTGTAGGTACATTAACTAGTACAGTTTAATCCTATGAGAGCTGTTCTGAAGTGGAATTCTAAAGATGTTTAGCCTGCAAAGATATCACCTCTACTAAACAAAACTGTAATATAGGTACTGCTCAGAATAGGTAATTTCAGCCATATACTTTAATGCCTATAGGAAACTATTCTAGATCATTTGCGTATACCTTATTTAACCATTAGAACTCTTAAAAACAGAGAATGTAGGTAAAAGAAAGCAAAGGACAAATTGTCCAGTTAGAGGGAGAGGGAGCAACATGAGAGAGGTGTGTTTTTTACTATTTGACTTTGGAGTGGCAGCGAAGACACAAAGAAATGGGTATGAATCGTCTCTAAAAGCTGAGGATCCCAAAAAACTAGCAAAATAAGAAACTACATGAAACTAAGTCCTACCAACAACTCCAATGAATTTAAAAGCAGATTCTGTCCCAAGTTCTTGACGGAGCACCAGCTGTTTACATGCCTTACTCATGGAACTTTATATGTCTGTTGCCAGCATTAAGCAAATTTGTACAGTGAAGCGGTAACCGTTGGTAAATGTGGATGACATGTTATCATTTGCAACTTGTCTGAAAATATTTTCAAGTTTTTTCTAAATAAAATAATGGCAGGGGAATAAAAATCTGCGTGGATATTCTATGCAGAATGCATCTGGGGTCAAGAGACGACAGGATGAGAAGGAGCTGCTGAAGTCGGGTTGAAATTTGGACCACTAGCAGAGATTTTAAAAAGGCTCCACCCTCCTCAAGTCAGGCTAGGCCCGTGAACTCAATCTCAGCTCAGAGACCTCGCCAGACAATTGCAGTTATGGTCATACCAGAGTCCACACTAGGGGTGTGGCCGCGAGCCGATTGGGTGGGCATCACTACGGGGGACCATGACTTTGCGCTTGCGCAGAGAGGAGTCCACTTCTTGCCCGACAGTGGGCTAGGCGACATCCTGAATGTCACGAGTCTTCCACCAGGTTTCCTGCACGTCTTTGGCCTTTCTCCCCTCAGAACTTTCCCTCTCCCCAGTATCTCCTAAAACTGATGTTTAATTGAGACAAAGCTTGAGTTACAAAGAAAGCTATTTCCCTCTGCCCAGCGTGAGTGGGCGGGGCCTCGGGCCGGAAGCGGAAGTGCTGCTGGCCGGTCATGCGAGTTCCACTCTGGCCATGGAGGAGTCTCTGTTCAGGGAGCCCGTGCTAGACGCCAAGTCGGAGGTAAGTACGGGCTGGGAGGAGAAGGGTTTGGGGCGGACGCTGGCGCCCGGATGGCTTTTCTCTAAATCGTGTCTCTGCTTCCGTTCCAGGTCACCGGCCAGGTGAGTGGCCGCCCCGCTGTGTCCGCCCCTCGGGCGCGCGGTCCCCGCCCCTGCTCGCGGAGCCTTCCCCGGGCTGCGCTTCCCAATTGCACCTGAGGGGATAGCCACCGTGGCTGTCATTTAAACTGCCCTGCCCCTAGAGTGCAGCCCGAGTGGTTCCACCTTTATTAGGCAACCTTTATTCCAAGGTAGGAACACGAAGTTTTAAAATGTGAGGGTTACAAGAGACTACTATTATTTGCAAAGATAGCGTCCTTCCTTTTTTCTTTTGTTCGATTGTTTGTTTGAGACAGGGTCTCACTGAGTAGCCCAGGCTATCCGGGAACGTTTCTAGGAAGACCAGACTGGCCTTGAACTCTCTGGATCCACCTGCCTCTGCCTCTGAAGCGCTGGGATCGAAGGTGTGCGACCTCAAGCTCAGCCATTTCTTTAAAGAAGTTACTTTGAAGATGAACTATTACTTTTCTAACCTTTCATATGTTACATTAGGAATAAATAAGGTTTTTGACTTTCTAAATTAATACTAACACTTTTCCAAGACAGTCAGAAAATTGGGAGTTTTAGTAAGGAGTTATCTAAGTTCACATAAATATAAGAAAGTACACACACACACACACACACACACACACACACAAAAGCCAGGTGGTGGTGGTGGCGGCGCACGCCTTTAATCCCAGCACTTGGAAGGCAGAGGTAGGTGGATTTCTAAGTTCGAGGCCAGCCTGGTCTACAGAGTGAGTTCCAGGACAGCTAGGGCTATACAAAGAAACCCTGTCTTGAGAAACCTAAACAAAAAAAAAAGTGCTGACGTTAAACATGATAAGAATACAGGGCCTGGGAGAGTGTCTACAGACTGCTACTTGTTTCGAAATGATTTTTTTCTTTTGAGGCAGGCTCTCACTAAACCTTTGAGGCTGGCCTTACACTCAGCTTGTATCCCACACTGGCCTCGAACTTGTGATCCTCTAACCTCAGCATCCCAAGTAGCTCGATTTAGAGCTTAGAACTCTTCAGCTTATCTTGCTTATGTTGCTTTGGGAGATTCCTGCAAGAGGACTCTGTGATACCGATAAACCTTTGTTTAACAGTATGACTTAGTGGCTTTTTGTTGTTTTGTTTTTGTTTTAAGATTGTTTTTATCTCTCTGTATAACATGTGGGTTCCTAGAGGCCAGAAGAGGCCTCAGATTTTCTGGAATTGCAGTTATAGATGTTTGTAAGCTGCCATGTAGGTGCTGGGAACTGAACTTGAGTCCTCTGGAGAGCAGCAAGTGCTTTTAACCACTGAGCCATCTCTCCAGCCTGAGCTAACTGAGTTGGTTTATTATTACTAGTCAATTCAAGTTATTTTCTCCTCTCATTTTTATATATCCTATTAAAGATGCCCTGAAACTGAACTGGGCTATAGGTATGTATGTATGTATGAGGTGTGTGTGTGTGTGTATTTATTTTAGGAAACATTTCCACCCTAAAGCAATATGAATCTATCCCTTACAGCTCTAGAAGTCAGAAGTATAAAAGCAGTTTAACAGGGCCAAGGTGAATGGAAGTTGTGTGGTGGCTGCAGAGGGGCGTCTCTTGTTTGTCTTCTCCTGTTCTTAGAGCCTGCCTCCTCTCTTGGTTTGTGGCCTCTGCATGGTTCCAACCCCTGCTTCCTCTTCTGACTAACCCTCTTTCCTTCCTTCTAGAAAAACTGTTATTACATTGGGATCACACCCAGGAAAATGCAGCCCACGATCTTAATTCTGTTAAATCTTTAATGTCTGCTTTCTCCCATGGAGAAAGTCTCTGTGATTAGGACACAGACATGTCTGAGTGACTAGGGTGCTGTAATCCCTCCATACTGTCCTTCATCAGTGCCTGGTCATATGATTATATATATAAGAAAAGCCAACATAATTTACAAGACTATTAGAATTAATAGTGAATTTTAAAAATATGACTCAGGTCTTTTTTTTTTTTTTTTTGCATAGTTCAAAGACAAAGAGCTGAAAAATATAATTTTAAACAAGTTTCACAACTTTAAAAAAAAACAAACTATACAGTATGTTGCAATTAAATCTACCAAGCTAGGTATATGTCCCTGTAATCCCAGCACCCGGGTGGCTGAAGCAGAGGTCACCACAGTTGTGATGCCAGTCTGGGCTTTATAGAAAAATGTTGACTCCAAAACCAAAACAACAAACCACCATGTAATGAGCTGTTTCACGAGATTATGGGGGAAATTGTAGGGCAGGGAGTTGGCTTACTGGGTGAAGGTGTTTGCTGCCAAGCTTAATGACTTGAGTTCGATCCCTGGAACATACCGTGAAGCAGAAAACAGACTTAATTCAAGTTGTCCTTTGACGTCCATGTGTCCAAGAAAATAGGAGTTAAAAAAAATGTTTTTAATTGTGAAAAACAGTGAACTTCTGATTTCTAGTTCAGCACGTAGGGACCTTGGAAGTTAGTACTATAATTAGAAACTATAATGTCAACACTAGTTGTGTTTGTCAAAGGAGTGATGTCACACTTAGTTTTATTTCAAAAGATAGAATCACTCATCTTTGGAGTAAGACAAAGTTTTCCACCCATGTTTTAGTGCCAGTATCAAGAGCTGCATCTATCCAGTTCTGTTTGATGCCATGACAACACTGAAGAATCTGCAACAGGAACTGGATTAAAAACATAGTAGTCCTTAAACTTATTATAATATTCAGAGCCAAACAGACATGGGCTTCTGTTCTGATCCTGGAATGTGTGACCTTGAGTCCATTACCTAAGCTCTCTGAAACTGGGTTTTGTCATCTGTAAAATGGAAATAATACCCTATAATCCTGTGGTGATTCAGTGAGGCTCTGAACACGTACGAACACTTCATAGTGCATCACCCGGCATGTGTCTGTCATGAGGCCTGATGAAATCTAAAGCCTTGTCATCCCCACTCATTGTAACCGTAGGTTTTACCTGGATGCTGCAGTGAGTAGCAATGGTCCGGTTTACACGTGTGCCTGGGGCAACTGTGAGGACCATGTCTCCCAACTGCAGTTTTAGGACTTGGGTATGGAACAGAGAGAGGGTAAAAATGTTCCAGAGCACAAATTAGGCTGTTACAAAAAGCCACTTTCTATTGCTTTTACTTCTGTTAGTCATCTGGTAGACACTTGGGTTTCTTTGTTTGACTTTCTGCTTTTCTCTACTTGTTTTCTGATTCTGCTTATGCCCTGTGTTTTCTCCTTTGCCATTTGACCATTGCTTGCCTACATAAATGAAGGTATTTTCTTGTACTATGACCAGTATTGAAACTAATCCAAGACTGAGGACAGAGAAACTAGGTATTTGTTCAAGGCAGTGGTGTTTCTCACGTGATATTTGTACCGTTGTGTTAAAGCTTATAGATTTTCAGTGGAAACTGGGCATGGCCGTGAGCTCGGACAGCTGCAGGTCTCTCAAGTATCCTTACGTGGCAGTGATGCTGAAGGTGGCAGATCATTCTGGCCAAGTAAACAGCAAGTCCATCGAGATGACCATTCCACAGTTTCAGGTTTGTAGTTCAACTCACCTAATTTAAGTGTCATTGCTGGTTCAAAAGCTGTGTACAGTCTTAAGGGGAAATTGATTTACTTGCAGGGTCATGTACTTTACATGTAGTCATTTCTAAAGTGATTTTCTCTGGGAGCTTACGTTTCTTTTTCAATAAGACATGCCAATTTGTGTATGGAACCATTTACTTACTGTAATAGCTTTATTTGGGTATATTTAGGAAGATTTCATCTTCTCTACAGGACATCTACATTGTAATTAATTTTGTATTATTTTTCTTTAGGCTTAATAATAATCTTAAGCAAAACTAATCTTTTCTTTGAATATCAGTGACATCGAGTTTTAGACTGATGTTTATAAAACTCAGTTCAGATCAAGTCCTTATTGGTCAGGCATATTAGCTAGAGGTTTAAGTAACTCAATAGTTTATTCTTAAACTCATACCATTCGTGCTGTCATTTTCCTTACCTTTTTCCCCAGGCAGGAAATGAAAGTGAGCACTAAGTCTAATTCCCTCTTGAATGCATTTGGCTGAGAGATGTACATTGTTAGCCGATTTAACTGATGTGTGAAATTTTGGTTTGGTTTGAACCCTTCAGTAGCTAAAGCAGTTAGCTCTCAAAGGACAGTTGAACACTCTAGAAAAGCAACCATAGTAAATGAAATGGAAATTTTAAAAATATGCATTGGTCATGAAATTCCTTTATGATTATTTGTTTTGGGTATATAGGTGTTTGGTCTGGTGTAGCATATCTGTGCACCACACACATGCAGTGACTAGAAGAGGGCATCAGATCCCATGGGACTGGAGTTTCAGGAAGGTGTGATGGGCTGCCATGTCAGTGCCCCTGGAATCAAAGCCAGGTTCTCTGGCAGAGCCAGTTCATAGCTGCAGAGCCATCTCGCCAGCCCTGAGCTTGCTTTAGTACTTGTGTATGATGTGGGAGTCACACCTAGAGCCTTGCTCATGCTAGATAGGTGCTCTACTGCTAAGCCAAGGCTCTCCTCCCCATCATGAGCTCTGGAAAAGTCTTTCCCATGCCACTGTATGACTTAAGTTCCTCTTCTATAAAGTGTATTTTAAGGGACATATGATAGACAAGACCACCCACCTTTGTTCTTAGTAATGTTGATAAGTGTTTGAAGGTTTAGGGCATGGGCAAAGGAAGTGTATCATGTAGTCACTGGCTGACTGTGAAAGAGCAGCTCAGCCTCAGCAGCTCAGCCACCCACGTGTACAGGCCTTTCCTTCTCCGTCATTCTGCCTCTACAGGGTTTTCTCTTCAGGAGGAAACAAATAAGTAAATAAAGCACTGTCCCCTAAAGCACTGTTGTTGTATAATTGACAAAGATTTTATATTTTCAATGCATACAATGTGATTTGGTAAAAATCTATGTTGTGCAGTGACTGTGTCCATGAAGGTAATTACCACATGCATTACCAGCATGTGTGTGAATGTGTGTGCACTGAGAACATTTAAAGTCTGTGCTCCTGGGGCCTGGTGAGATGACTTGGTGGTTAAGAGCACTGGCTGTTCTTTCAGAGGACTTGGGTTCAATCCTACATAGTAGCTCACAGATGTCTGTAACTCCAGTTCCAGGGGAACGAATGCATGTAACATAAAATTTAATAAATTCTTTTAAAAAAAATCTATGCTCCAATCTCTCACAACAATATACTATTACTAATCATACTTGGCATTCTGCACATTAGATCCTCAGGTCTTCTACAGCTAAGTCAGCACCCTTTAGTCAACTTCTTCACTCCTGCCCCGCCCCCAGCACCCGACAACCACTTCAAGTGTCTGAATCTGTGAGCTCAGTGTCCTTAATACAACTGAGATAAAGTAGTGTCCGTCTTGCTGTCTGGTTGGTCTTTAGCATAGTGTCTCTGGGTTCACCTGGGTTGGAAATGGCAGGGTTTCTTCTTTCACAGCTGAGTGGTTCCATCGTGTGTATATGCCTGTGCCTCCACTGTGGCAAGTAGCACATATGTGTGGATGTTACATTTGACCACTGTGTAGACATGTAAAGGATCTGAACATTTGTACATTTTGCTATTCATGGTCCTCTGAGGCAGTGCCCCAGAGACATTGAGTCATCTGCAGGAGCATGTACCTGTGTCATGTGTTCTTCAGGAGACAGTTTGTTCTGTTTGTGTTTTAGACATGGTCATCCTGAGAGTTTGTCTCAAATTTGCTCTATGTTCTGACCCCTCTTGCCTAAGAATGTTTGTTTTTCAATGATCATTACCAAGACTGTAACATTAAAATACAGACAGTATATATCTGGTGATTAGATATAATTAAAGAAACTTCATAAGTATCCTTTAAAAGCAAAATTAATATTTTCTCCTTTCTCTCCAGAATTTCTACAAACAGTTCAAGGAAATTGCTGCTGTAATTGAGACTGTGTGAGAACTGATCCATGATCTAAAGTAATGGGCTCTTCCTTCCACAAGAGGACTGCGTATGATCACAGAATATTTATACAGTAAACGTCGTGCTTCTGGGGCTGGAGACATGACTCAGAGGTTAAGAGCACTGGCTGCTCTTCCAGAGGACCCAGGTTCAATTCCCAGTACCCACATGGAAGCTTCCAACTGTCTGTAACTCCAATTCCAGGGGACCTGACACACATGCAGGCAAAACACCAAAGCATATAGAATAAAAATAGTTAATTAAAAAAGAATTTCACTTCTAATTTTTAAAAATAAGTTTTTAAAAATCAAATAAACATGTATTTTAGTGGTGACCAATACTTAGCCTAGTCGGTGAGATAAAAGTGATTGTGTTAACCACTAATGTTTATAGATTATGTATAATTATAGATGAGTGGTGATACTGTTAAATGCAACACAGTTTTCTGTATTAGGAGAAAAATTTGAAATCTTACTGATAACAGACCTAACTTTATAAATAAAATCTTGTCTGGATTTTACATGAAGTTGAGAAAGGAATAATCGATTAAAACTACTTCACAAATTCAGTTTTATGACATGCCTCATGAAATAACTAAAGGAATTATTGAAAGAATTAGCGAGAAGAGTGAGACTTCCTTCCTCAGACATTTGTAATCAGGTTAAACTAAACCAATCCTCCGTATATTAACTTTGCGTTCAGTTGTGCTGCTGCTGTTTGTGGAAAATTCATCACCAGTAATTTGCTGAGAGCAGCACAAACCAGAGCATCCCCCAGTAGCATCTGTACACATCTCTGCCGTCGTCCATGCCTGCTATACATGAGACTGGTCCATCTGCAGTTAATGGTACTGTTGGGAAGAATTACAACGTGTGACCTTATTGGAGGAGGTGTGTTACTGAGGGGCTGGGAGGGCTTCAAACACCCATGCCTGGTCTCTCTACCTGCGTAGTCTCCAGATCTGAATATAAGCTCTCAACCCCATACCTGCCTGCCTGCCTGCTGCCTTGGTTTTTTGCCATGATAATGATGGCTTGATCTCTGAAAATAAGCAAACCCTCTTTTCTTCTTTTCTTTCTTTTTCTTTTCTTCTTCTTTTTTTTTTTTTTCTTATTCTTTTTTTGAGATAGAGTATCCCTGTGTAGTCCTGGCTGTCCTAGATCTCACTCTGTAGACCAGGCTGGCCTTGAACTCATTGATCCACCTGCCTCTCCTTCTCAAGTGCTAGGACATAGGCATGTGCCACCACTGCCCAGCTAGCAAGCCCTCTATTAAATGCTTTCTTTTGTAAGAGTTGCCTCAGTCATGGTGTCTCTTCAAAGCAATATAACAGTAACTAAAACTCCTACCACCTCTGTGGTGAGCTAACGGTTGCTTTCTTCATCTTTCTGATTCTTCACAAATATCTCACATGGGTGGAAAGTCAACCAGAACCCTCTGATCCAGAAGAGGAGATCATATCCCCTAGAACATGAGTTAGGAATGGATGTTTAGATATGGATCAAGCCTGGGTCCACTGCAAAAGCGACAAGTACTCTATGATACCTGGTTTGCAAAACAGTTACACCTCATATGGTATAGAAATTTCAGTCCAGGGATATGCCCTTGGAAGTAATAGAAAAAAGTTACCTCATCCATTGTTTCTATTAGACCTCTCAGGAGATTGTGTTTCCCAGTCTCTAGCAGGTGGACTCCAGAGCCATATGACTGGGTTGAAGTTAGCAGGATCTGGCTATAAATACCCTAAATATATTGAGACTTGGTTATAAGTCATTCTTTAGCATTTTCGAGCTCTCCTGTCTTTAGTACTGAAATGATGAAGTCAGAAGAACAAAGGATGGAGCTTGTGTCACCAGAGGCTTCCTCCAAATAATAATAGCCTGACTTGCTTAACTAAAAGTCCCATAGTGTGAGAAAGAACAAATGTTGAGGACAAATAATTTTTCTTCTATTACAGTAAAGGCACAGGTGGAGGATGAGTACAGAAGAGACTGATGGATTGTTAAAAGCATGCTAGAGGGGCTAGTCAACTAAAGGGGAAGAATGGAGAAAATCAGAAAATTTGAAATTCTGCAAACCCTATGTAAGCACCTGCATCAAAAAGATGTTTATTTAAGGATACTTGCTCATCCTTGAAAATATTTTAGGATACAATTGATATACCCTCTCGGTGTTATACAAGATTAGGAAAACATACAAAAGACACATAAATGACAATTTAAAAAAGAGATGGGGAATCAGTCTGCCCAAGGTGAAAACTCACAGCTGTGAAATTCTGGGGTGTGATGCGTGTGTACAACAATGACCTGCTCATCAACATGCTCGGGTGGGTCCAGAGCTGTCTCAAGCTTCTCCATTAAATTCAACCAAAGTCAAGGTACCTGAAGAGATGCTGTCCATCTCTTTCCATGCCTGGTACCCTGTTGACATAAATAATGGTACCAGCAGGAACGGGTAGGTGCAGCAATAGAAATGAACACACTGCCTGGGAACAGAGAAAGCTTCCAATGGCTGATTTAAGAGCAATGTGACATTGAGTATATCAGCTAAGCTCCAGGCCAGGCTGCAGAGAAGCTGGCCAACACAAAACTCCATGTGTTTCTCCTTGCTTTGTTTGTTTTTGTTAGCTTTTGCATTTTGTCTTAGCATTTTTGTCTTACTAGTTTGTTTTGGTTTTCATTTTTTTTCTTGTTTTATTGAGAAAGAATTAACATGAACTAAGGTGGGAAGGATCTGAGAGGAGTTGGGGGAAGAAAAAACATGTTCAAAATAAAGTATGGGGGGGGAAAGTACTGTGATAACAGTTCATGCAGCTTGGCCTGCGCTGACTTGGACTGACAGTTAGGCTATAATCAGAGGCCTGACTTAAGGAAGAACCCGTGGAAAAGGGGGAGTTAGCAGGTGATGGGTTGTCCACTGAGGGAAAAGGAACAACAGATTTGTAAGGAAGCACATAAGAATCCAATAGGAATCGGAGTCGCTTGGAGGAGTCCATAAGCTCATTATGTAGAATGGAGCTAAACATCTTAAATGCCATGTTCTGTAGATCTCTGAAATGTTTGAAGAGCACCTACCTGTATCAAAGTGGACAAATGTTGCTTGATTCTAGACTTTTCTGCTTAACTTTGAAAACATAAGGAGGAGGGGCTAAATAAAGCTTATTTCTGTAATTAACTAGTACCCAACAAGACTACAAGTAAGATTATTTATAGGTGACTGACTACTTACTTGCTTTTCTAATTATCGTAAACAGTTTGCAATAGTAGCTTTCATAAGACTAGAACTTTACATTTTAAAGTGAGTTGCATATGTAAAATATGTTAAGCAAGAGTTGAACAAAATAACTTTAAATTTCTACCAATAATACAATCTTAATTTAAAAAGATACGATAATCCACCTTTTGTCCTATACCCAACCCACCTCCCCTTTGTTATAACCTAGTGAATCTCAACTACTCTTGTCTGAAACTGCTAGTACCTTGAGCTAGGGCCCCAATGCTGGTACCTGACAGCAAGAGATTATCTCGTATGCCCCTCCTGCACCTGCACTCACCTGTGCAATGACAGCCTTTACTAGTCAGCAGGCACTGAGCTCCTGACTGTTGTATAAGTGTCTAAACTAGAAAGCAAAACTTAACCCACAGGGGCAGCATTTGTATTTTAACATGAAAATACTGATCCCAATGTGCATGGGCCTCATGTTACAGAGCTAGAGAAAATCACTCGGACTCTCCTTTCTGATAGCATTTAGACATTATTTGTCTTGTGATAGGCACGTTCCATGCACTTTACAGAATTTAATTCTTACAATAATCTTTTAAAGTATGTACTGTTATCCTTTTTACAAATGCCCAAGTTAAAGTGAAAAAAATGCAAATAACGCTTTCATGGTCAAGATGGGCCACCTACCCAGGTAAGCTGACTTAAGAAATGCAGTTCTCAAGGCATTTACACATCTTGGCAGTCAAAGAGATATAAAATAGAGTTATCTGGGGACCTCAGCACGATGTAGAAGCTTCTCCAAGCCTCCAGGGACATTACTACATCACTTGTAAACCTGACTTGAGAGAATCAACCATCTTTCAAGTCCTAAACCCCATGACCCAGCAACTTCAAATAGCACTTTATAAAATAGATTTTTACTTATTCCAGTAGAGTTGCTGTCCCCTGAGAATGGAAGTTATCCTTGAGAGAATGAATAACCTATGTCAAAATGACACCAGGCCTACCAAGTAAACAATGACCAGAAGAAAAAGCCAACCTACAAAATAAGAAAAAACAGTAAAAGGGTATACATTTTGGAAGTGGGGTTAGGTTAAATCCAGAGCATCCAAAAACATCCATCAATCCAGAAGAAAAAGAGCAACCAATCCAATTAAAATTTGGCAGCTGATTTGAGTGCTGGTGGCACACACCTTTAATCCCAGCACTCAGAGGCAGAGGCAGAGAGGTAGAGTGAGAGGCAGAGAGAGGCAGAGAGGCAGAGGCAGAGAGGCAGAGAGGCAGAGAGTCAGAGTGAGAAGCAGAGAGAGAGGCTGAGTGAGAGGCAGAGAGAGAGAGGCAGAGTGAGAGGCAGAGAGGCAGAGAGGCAGAGAGGCAGAGAGGCAGAGAGAGAGACAGAGAGGCAGAGGCAGAGGGGCAGAGAGGCAGAGGCAGAGGGGCAGAGAGGCAGAGAGGCAGAGAGGCAGAGAGGCAGAGAGGCAGAG